ATGCTTTTTTTGGCTACGATGACTGAAGTCAGAAAAATGAGCCTGAGCAGAGCTTCGGTTCATGAACACCTCCCAAGATGGAATGGAGTGTCTGCACCAAGTATAGATATAACCATCAATGTTAAGGATTGGAAGCACATAGGAGTCCAGGTTCCCAAGAAGCCTGCTTATCCTTGAGTTGTCTTTATAGTTTTGTAGAATCTGGAAATTTAAAAGACAAAGTTTTGGGGTGATTCTAGGAAGAAGTCTTTTTCTCTTCTAATTCTCTATGAATTTCCACTTAATCACAAGAGCTGACTGCCTATCATTTCTAGCCTCCAGTTCCCCCTCAATTGTCATCATCTGACAGAACAGTTAAAGTTCCGTGCGAGGTGTTGGCAATATACCCCTGTAATCACAGGTGACAACTGACATTCTACCTGTAGACTCTGGAGACAGGCATAGGCAGGAAGACCTCAGAGTGATGGTCACTATGGATTAAATAGTGAATTTGGGCCAACCCTGGACTATGTAATGAGACCTTGTCTCAAAATAACAAAACACTGATTGTCCAGCTGTACCTGTCCTCCTGTTCCCCCTGCTCCTCCCCCCTCCTTCTCCCGCAAATTTCTAATTCAGTAGGTGTGAGATGAAGCTGATTATATTTCTAGCAAGCTTCCAGTTAATATTTCTGGCTATTGGTCTTAGAAGCTACTCTTTGTGGGTTACTTTTTATATTTAGGTTTCCAAAAAAGACTCACTAAATAAAAGTTGTCTTACTCCCTAAAGTAGGAGTAGAAAAAACATCTAAGGACTCATTGTGCCGGGTGTTTTCCACATGCTAAGTCTCTTAACCCACACAGCAGATGGATGATTTGTCATTTCAAACTCTTTTTACATGAGAAACTAGGTGAAATTTTTCTCCGTGTCGAAAAAGTTTTCCCCATGCTATTTGTCAAGATTTAATCTCACCTCTTATTTCTAAGATATGTCTTCTACATTTAGGTATATTTACCCTCCAATAAAAAATGATCTTGGAAACACTGGGAAAAGGTCAAGATACTTAGTTTTCAGCAAAGATAGTCACTAATTCCATTTCACTTGAGGTGAGGTCTAGATCAGTAAAGAGCCACATTGCTAATATAGGAAAAACATGGTTCTAAGTGGCCAAGAAGTGACAGGTACTCAATGAGGTGATTTAGCATTAAGAGGAAGCTAAAGATACTTCTCTCACAAGCCACTGGCAAAAAGTGGGGGCAATCCATTCCCTGGCATGAATTCCACAGTCCATCCAGATGATCTTCTTGGGGTTGCTGGGTGGTTGACTGATCTGGAAGGGACATCCAAGCTCCATCACCAAATAATCACTTAGAGCAAACCACTCTGCAAAGTTACCGGGATTTTTGTTCCCCTGGACTCATCCTTCTTACTCTACTCGGGAGTTCAGGGATGGTGGCTAGATGCTGGCAGAGATGCTCACAATGTAGTCATTTCCTCTGCTGCCTTGTTCTCCCCTTTGTATTGGTAGCTAGTCTCAGGACCATGTACGTATTCCCCATGGCATTCATCTAAAGAATCATTTTTTGCACCCTAAATTATTCCCTGATTGCTAATAAAAGTAAAGTACAGTAGCAGCTTTCAAAGCTTATTGTATATAAAATCATTTGACAGACCTGTTAAAACACAAAACACTGTCAAGTGTGGTGACAGATAATTGTAATCCCAACGCTCTGGAGACAGAGGCAGAAGGGTTACTGTCTTACAAGCTAAGAGGCTCAATCCACATATGTCTTATAAAAGCTTTACTCACTCAGGGAGGCAAAGTACATTAGCTGTAATGTTCAAGAACCAAACTGGTCACATACGGACATTGTCTATGAATTACCCAGGCTTAAGTGACACATCTACAATGCAACCTCTACACCTAAGGCTCGTGGAACACAGACCAGGGATAATGAAGAGGACACTAATGAATCAGTTCTCAATAACGAAGTTTCCTCATGCAACAGAGGACCAGGAAAACAAAAGATCACAAATAGTGAAAGTGTAGAGATCAAGAGTCTACTGAATGATGGCCCGTGGACAGGATACCTTTATTAAACTTCACCCCCGATCCCCCCAAAAAAAGAAAAAAATATTTCACCCACCCAAGGCTCAGGGACCGTCACGGAAGAGGGGGCAGAAAGATTGTAAGAGACAGGGAGGAGGTGCATGACCATATGGAGACAGAGTCCTACAAGCTCCTGGGAACCTGCTCATATGATTCTATGGTAATGGTGTTAGCATATACAAGTCCCATGCAAATTCATGCAGTCAATAACCTAGCATAGAACTGGGAAAATAAACAGCAGTCCTCAATCTAAACTGAAGCAATGTTGGCAACTGATTGCTGCTAGATGAAGAAGAGCTGATCTTCCTAAAACAAAGGACTATAGCTAGGCTGACTAGACTCAGTGGATGGACTTGCACTGGGGAATGGCTAGGGCCACTGACAACCCAGTGGGCCTTAACAGGGATGACAAGAGTATATGGGTTCCACTTGGGGGTGGGGGGCTATGGGAGAGTGCCAATGGGGATGGGGGTATAAAGATGATTAAGATTGTTTGAGACGTTCTGTATAAAATACACAAAAAATTCAATAAAAAAGTGTTTTAAAATGATTCAAACCTTCACTTAAACTTCCCGAAGATCAAACTCTACAGCTTGGCACAGCACTTGCTAAATTCCCCTCTTGGTGACTCCTCCGCCCCCACACAGCCTCATCTTTCTTCTCTGTCCTTTTGTCCTCTTAGACTTCAAGCCAGCCTCACTCTAGGAAGGCACGCCCTCTTATTAGAAGTGATGGGACTTAAACTGGCATTATGGAGAAGGTGCTGTAAAGAATCCTAGGCTGTAACAGCTGTATCTGTTTAGGATTTGTTAATGACTTAGATCAGGCTATTTGTTGAAAGCCTTGGGGACTGAGGTGATGAAGGCTTTCTCCCTTTACATGAGATACTTAGAAACAGGTAAATGCCTAGGGCTGCCATATTTAAGGCACTTTTTTGTTTTAGCTTCATCTGCCTTGTAGAGCTTCCAGGACAATTCCTAATCCACCTCTTACCTGTAATTACCCCTTTTATGAGTGTGAGTGTTTATGTTTACTGCCTCCTTACCGTGTATTCATTCTATTACCCTGGGCCCAGGCAGAGGAAGTTGTAGCAGCATTTTCAGCTGATTCGGCTTAGAGTTTCAGTATCTATCAAATTCAGGTTGACAGGTGTTCTATGCTTAACAACACAAATTAGTCAACCCCTGAGTAAATTCTATTTCTGAGGTAATAATTTTTCTGGTATTGAGGATAGATCTCAAGTTTTGTGCTGTGCCTTGGAAGCCAACATGTCTGTACCAAGTAGTACAGGAGAATGAACTTAATAATGCTAGCTCTGAATGCTAGTCTAGTTAGGCTCGTAAGATGGTAGGTAGTTCATGAAGTGTGGTATTGAACCAGTGTTACCTAGGGACTTGTTAGCAAAACATTGTGGTTCTGAACCTTGAGTAGGCATCATAATTACCTGAGGCAAGCCTGCTAAAACACAGATGGCCGGGCTATCTCCAGACCTCTAGAGTTTCTGGCTCCATAGATATAGTGAGACCTAAGAATGTACATTTCTGACATGTACATATTGATGCTATGGGTCCAAGGACCGCCCATTGAAAGCCACTGGTTTACCAGGCCTATAATCTAAGCTACTCAGGAAGCTGAGACAGGAGGACAGAAAAGTCAAGGACAGCCTGGGAAACTTAGTGAGAACTTGTCTCAGATCAAAAATAATAAGGAATGGAGGTACAGCTCAGTTGCAGAGAGCTTGCTTAGCATGTGCAAGGTTGTAGCTGGATGTCCAGTACCAAAGTAAAGAAGGGAAAGGAGAGGAGGGGAGAGAGAGGCCACTGGTTTAGTACAGGCATTATTGACTGTAGTTGCATATTAGGGTATCCTGGAGCTTTCAAAGCATGATTTGACACACCTTGAACAATCAGGGCACCATCTCTGTAGGAAAGACTGAGGCAGCAGAATCATTTAGCAGTTCCCCAAACGATTTTAATCTATCCCAAGGATAGAAAAATCATTGATCCAGACCTGAGAGCTTAGAAGTCCTGGCACTGTGGAAAAGTGACTATCTGACCCCAGACATTTTTACCATATCACAAGCAAAAGGGAAAGAACCCAGAGACCTGACAGTCTCTTTGTTATGCAACTGTATGGTCATGTGACCTTACACAAGCCACTATAACTCTCTTGGGCCTTTCTTTCCTCAATAATAAAGTGAAAGAATAATTAATGAAGGTTTTCTGTGGTTTTTAAAACAGTTTTAGGGGCCAAGTATGGTGGTGCACGTTTTTAATTCCAGCACTTGGGAGGCAGAGGCAGGCAAATCTCTGTGAGATCAGCAGAAGCAGGCAGATCTCTGTGAGATGGAGGCCACCCTGGTCAACATAGTGAGTTGCAGGCCATCTGGGGCTACAAGGAGACCCTGTCTCAATCAATCAATCAATCAACATTTTTTAGGAGGAAAAAAATATCTCTCTTTACAGTATTTGGGCCAGAGAGATGACTTGGTGAGTAAAGGTGCTTGCTACCAAGCTTGACAACCTAAGTTTCAGCTCTGAAACACACATGGTGGAGGAAGAGAACCAGCTCATGCAAGTTGTCCTCTAATGTCCACATACCATGGCATGCACACATATGCACGCGCGCACACACACACACACATACACACACACAAATAAAGAAAATAAAATAAGTCCCCCCAAAAGATCATTTAATAAAAATGTTTAAAATACAGATTGAAAGTGAGTTAGCACCAGTGCAGCCTAGCCTAAGTGGGGGCAATCACTCATGGCCTCTCCTGTTTTCAGGTCCTGCTGCAGAACCACACACGAAGAAGGTATGGATGAAAAGCCAGTTTCTCTTCTTTGGACTTTGCAGTTGGGCAGTACAGTCTCCTCTGACTGACAGATTCTTCTGGGTCATGGGTCATGCTCAGCCTCTGCACTCACCTTCAGGTAGTACATGGGTCATGTCTCATAAGTCATTCCCAGGAAATGCTGTGTCACCACTTCTGGGTATTTCTCACTGATCTGGCTCATCCACTGATAGATCTGAAATAGCCCGTAGAACCACACCATCACTAGGTGGAAAGCTTGATTTCCTCTAGGTGAGATAACTGCTTCTTTCACTAAGATGCTGGACGTAATACTCTGCTCTAGACTGCAAAAGCTATGTGAAGAACAAAACAGAAAACTAGAGCAATAAACTATTACATCCCACCTCTTGTTTTCAAGCCTCCTGCCATCAAGTCTTAGGACACCCCATTGAACTTTACAGATAAGTAACTGAGAATGGACAGTTTCAATAACCCACCAGTAACACTTCAGTGACCATATATAATAACATGTCCTTTGTACCACCATCTGAATTAACCACATCACGTGGCACAAAATCAGGCCAGTAGTTTCAGTCAAGTTTGTTTTGTGGGATCACTTTCCTCTTTAAGGATCCCAAGGGTTATGGTTAGATGTTCTTTGGGCCCCTAAAGTTTATGTGCTGGAGGCTTGATCCCCAGTACAGTGATATGGGGGCTACAGAGCAGTGAGGAAGAGTGAGACAAGTGGGGGGTTCTTAGGTCATTGGAGCCCTGCCCCACAAAGGGAATACTGGTCTCCTAGAGTAAGTTCTCCTGAGAGAGAACTGTGGTAAAGTTCTGAGTTTGGCCCCTGAGTTTCCCTCTGGCTTCCTGATTGGTGATATGATTTCTTCTGCCTACAAACATTCTTGCCTTTGCCATCCAGCATGAGGTGATACAGCTGAGGCGAGTGACCCTTACCAGAGGCTGAACCATGCTGTTTGGACTTTCAGCCTCCAAAATTGTTGAGTTAAGTAAAACCCCTTTTCTTTATAAAGTAAGGCTGCCTCGGGTATTTCATTACAATAATGAAAAGTAAACTAATACACCAATGACATTCTTTGTTAACTTTCTAAGATTAGACAACACCCAAGTGTGCCCTTCCCAGAACCTGCTTACTGAGGTTTCTAAATCAAGCCCAAGATAATCATTTTGATTCATCTGAATAGACATGACTAGATGCTAACTTAATTATAGATCATATTTACCAAGCTAAGAAGGAAACATACTGTGGCCAGTAAACCTATAACTGGAGTTCCACAAAAGTGAGTTCAATTTAAAAAAAGACATTTTAAGATAGTCATCAGCATGTTTGGGGATATACCACACATTGAATTTCTATGTAGTTGACATCTCTATATATTGGCAGTTCAGAGTTATATACAATAACGGTTAATTGAGCATAACAAATTCTTTCAAAAAATTGAATCTTGATTAACCTTCATTTTGGCAAAGGCTATTTATGAAGAAAATTTGTCATTATAATTAATAACAGTTTCAATTCAGTTTCTTTTTTATTTATTATTTTTATTTTATGTGAATGTGTGTATTGCCTGCATGTAGGTATGTAAATGCAGCCATGTCGTGCAGTGCCCACAGAGGTCAGAAGAGGCAGCTGGATCGCCTGGGACTGGAGTTATGGACAGTTGTTAGCTGCCATGTGGGTACTAGAATTCGAATCCAGGTCTTCTGCAAGAACAACCAGTGTTCTTAACTGCTGAGCCATCTCTCCAGCCCCAAATTCAGTTTCTTAACTATAAAAGAATTGAAGCTTATGACACAGGCACCATGTGCACATCTAAGATGATGCAGAGTCAGAGGCAGGTGTCTGAAGTCTTGACAGAACTACAAATAACAGCAAACATGAGTGACAGCTCGTATTTACTTATTGCCTAATCAATTTGTTCCCATAACAATGTGGTAAGATACACACTATTATTCCAGCTTCACAGATGAGGAACTAAGGAGATTAAATGTTTTCATCGCGGTCAGGCAGTGACCAAGCCAGCTGTGATCGCATTATTAGTACTAGACATATTAATTTCTTTTCCTGTTGCTGAGATAAAATGATCTGACAAAAGCAGTTTAAGGGATAAAGAGCTTATTTTGGCTTACAGCTCAAGAGTACAGTCTATAGTGGCAGAGAAGTCCTGAGGGCAGGAGCTTGAGGTAGCTGGTCACATTGTATCCACATCAGGAAGAAGAGGGTGACTAGCGCCTGTATTTAGCTAGCTTCCTCTGTTTTACTCAGTCCAGTAGGACTCAAGCCTAGGGAATGGTGCTGTCCTCCTTTAGGGTGGGTTATCCACTTCAATTAATCTAATCAAGACAGTCCCTCACAAGCATTCCAGAGACAAACCTAATCTAAATGACCGCTTGCTGGTGTGCCTGGAGGCTCATCTCCTGGGTGATTCAGATCCTGTCAAGTTGACAATTCATACCAATCTTCATGCCAGATCACCAGGTTTCCATTGGCTTACCACATCTCATTCAAAACCGCAGAACCAACAGTTCTTCGGGATAATATTTAAAGAAGAAAGTATATACTCTTCCTCATACTCTTTGAAAAACTATTCTGGAAAACATTAATATATCCCCAAATGCTGAGGGTAAAGATTGGTAAAGTCTGGAAGGCAATTTGTATATGTCTATAAAACTTTTAGATATGCACATCCTTTAATGCACCACTCAATTTTAGAAGTTTAGGCCACAAAAAAAGTTATATGTGATGTCACATAGGCACACACAAAAAATCTATTCTTTTACTACATCTGGTTTTAAAAACCACTAACAGCTTCAGAGCATTACATATGCTTCTTTGCAAAAGGATTTTCCCTCTGAAGAACTGCTACTGAGTCCCTAGCATCCTGCAATAACTACATTCTTAGCAAAACAAAACTCGCTGAGAAGCCTACTCCCATGTCTCACACCCACCAACCCTGCCCTGCTGAAACCTGCTTAGGACATGACAAACCAAAGTAAGTGTTAATTCCGGTTCATGTTCATACTAGGCTCATTGAGCTATTCTTTCCTTCTTTTTCTGTGTGCTATTAATTTGTCTTTGTATTTCACATTACTGGGTTTTGTAGTTTCCAAATTGGTGGTAGTGATCATGGAAAAGTAAGAAATGTTTAGGAATTCATTCAACTCAGCACACAGGTAAGTCTTCTCACATACTGAGACTCTTCAATCCATGGATATTAACAACAAACCATGCCCAGTGTACCCTAAAACAGGTTGTGACCACTGGCAACCCTGTCTCCCACCCCTGTCTGCCATACTCACCTCCCCCATGGTGTGGTATTTGTCATAGGGATAGGTCTCCAGGTCTCTCCATGGACTCACAACCTCTTGCCTGTGCTGTGCTGAGGATCTGAAAAGGAAAGAAAGACAGGAAATAGTGAAGACATTAGGATAGTCTGAGGACTAGAAGGTGGATTAAAAAGGTCACAGACTTAGAGCATTTGATGCTCTTGCCGAAGACCAGCGTAAAGTTCCCAGCACCCACGTCTGGTGCCTATAATGCCAGTTCCGGGAAATCCAATGCCCTCTTCTGGACTCTATGAGAACTGTATTCGTGTATGTCGGGCGGGCGGGCCTGCATGCATGCGTGCGTGTGTGCGTGTGTGTGTATGTGTGTATGTGTGTGATACATACACAATTAAAAAATGAATAAAAATTAAAAATGAAAAAGATCCCAGAAACAATGTACACAGGATTTGAAGTCCCAAAGTCAGCTTTGGAGTCAAAACTATATGATTACCTATTTTAGATCTTAGACAGTTATTTGGCCATTGTAAGATACAGTCTTCCTTTTTCTATAGAGTGAGAACAATCAGGCCAACATTACAGGGAAGCTAGGCCAGTTCAATAAAATATTGTAAATAAAAAGCATTTGTAAGTTTGTAAAAGAAATAATAGCAAAGATTTACTGAGTTGAAACTTTTTATGAGACAGACACTGTTCTAAGTAATTTAAATCTCATTTACTTCTCTCTAGAATGCTGAGATAGATTTCTTATTATCTCTATTTGAGAGATGAAGAAAGCAAATCACAGGGAAAGTGTTACTGGACAGAAACCTTGGCAGTCTGAGTGAAGAGCCTCTAATACTATGTCTGCAAATTCAGTGGTCAGACCTAATCTCTACACAGCTGTTCACATAGACATTGTTTTTTAGAGCACTTTTAGTTTGACAGCAGAATTAAGTGGAAAGTCCAAATGGTTTCCATGCAATTCCTAACCCTACACACCCCAACCCTCCTCCATATGGATGTCCCTCATCACTGTACACCCCAACCCTCCTCCATATGCATGTCCCTCATCACTCTAGCACATTTGTTATGACCAATGACTCTACATTGACACATCATCGCCCACAATCCATATTTTATAATAGGATTCATTCCTGTGTTGTAAATTTTCCATTTAATGACCTGTATAAACCAATGTAGCACCTCACACAACAGTTTTAGTGCCCAACCGTCCTCTGTGCACTGCTTCTTCATCCATCTTGTCTGAAAACCCTCACAGACTGAGGTCTCCCCTAACCCCCATGATATTTTTGAGCTAATATCACTGCTATCTTTTTTGTATGTGGAGGTCTAGTTGTTCTAGCACGATCTATTGCAAAGAATATTTCTTCTCTGTTTTATTATTATTGTTCCTTTGTTGCGATCAGTTGACTGTGTGTATGTGGGTCTATTTCTGGACTCCCTATTCTTTTCTATTGATCTATTTGTTTATTCTTTTGCCAATACCATGCTGTCTTGATGACTGCAGGCTTACAGTAAGCCTGAAATCTGGAAATGTCAGTCCTCTGACTTTATTCTCCTTCAGCATTGTGTTGGCTATTATGGGCTTTTCACTTGTCCACAAATCTTTAGAATCAGTTTGTCGATAACCACAAAATAACTCACTAAGATTTTGTTTGGGGTTGCATTAAGTCTATAAATAAAGTTAAGAAGAACTGACATCCTGACAATATTGAGTCTTCCTATATATAAACACAAAATATACTTCCATTCATTTAGTTTTTTAATGTCTTCATTAGCGTTCTGAAGGTTTTCCTAGACAGGCATTATATACTTCATAGGGAGGCACTAGCATGCTTTATTATTTCAAATTACACTTGCCCTTTGCTAATGTATAGGAAAATTTCCCATGCCAGCCTTGTCTTCATGAAGCGTCTTATAAGTGTAGATTCTTAGTTCCAGGGTGGTTTCTGTTGTTGATTCTTTCTGATTTTATGTACATTTGCTCATGTCATCTGGACATCTTTATTTCTTCTTTCCCAAATGATATGCCTTTATTCCCTTTTCTTGTTTTATAGCACTATCTAGGTCTGCAAGTTTTAAGTTGAAAAACAGCAGTGTGCTGGGAGTGGTGGCGCACACCTTTAATCCCAGCACTCAGGAGGCAGACGCAAGTGGATCTCTGTGAGTTTGAGGCCAGCCTGGTCTACACAGGGAGTTTCAGGGCAGCCAAGGCTACATAGCAAGACCCTGTCTCAAAAAAAAAAAAAAACAAAAGAAAATAAAACAGCAGTGAACAGCCAGACTTGTTCTGCAGATCTTTGTGGGAAAAGTTCTAGTTTCTCACCATTACATATGAGGTTAGCAATAGGGTTTAATGTTCTTTATTATGTTGAGAAATTTTCCTTTCCTTAATCGTGTATTGTCTGATGTCAAATATTTTTATATACATATTGATATAGTCATGTGATTTTCCCTATTCAGCCTATGGATATGACAAATAACATTAATTATTTAACATTAATTATTAATTAATAACATAATTGTTGAATATTGAACCAGTTCTGTATAACTGAGATCAATCCCTTTATTGAGGGTGTATGATTCTTTTTATCCAAAGCTAGATTGGATTTACCAATACCTTTTTGAAGACTTGTCTGTCTGTGTTTATGAGAGCTATAGGCCTCAGTTTCTTTCCTTGTAATGTCTTTGTCTGATTTTGGGAGTAGAGTAATGCTGGCATCAGGGACTTGGTTAGGAAGTATTCTCTCTACTTCTAACCTCTGGAAGAAATTGTAGAGAACAGGCACAATTTCTTCCTTAAGAGTTTGATAGAATGAACCAATGAGCCGCTCTGGGGCTGGTGTTTTCTATCTTAGAAGGTTATAAATCATAGATTCAATTTCTTTAATGGCTATAGGATTGTTTCAACTGTCTACTTAAGATTTATTTTTCCACAAACAATTTAATAACATCATTCAGTGCTTCCTCTATACCAGACATTATGCTAGCACCTAAGGAATCATATTTATACACAGCTCATATATAATTGTCTTCTCACTTTAACCCTGGGAAATATTATTATCCCTATTCTACAAATGAGGAAATGGAAACAAGGAGAAATGAAGTAACAAGACCTAAGCAAGAAGTCACAGACATAGTAAGTCACACAGTTAGTACTCAGTCTCTAAGCCACACGAACATTTGATGAACACCTTAGTTTTCCAGATAAAAGGCCATATTTAAAGAAGAAAAGGGGGTTGCATATTTGTTGGAGATCATTCTACCTGATAGTTCATTTACCCAACAGTACAGGTATGCAAGCTTTTGGAGATGCTGTGTTGCAGATTGCTGTATCTTGATCCTAAATTGCATGAAAAAGGATTGGAGAGCTAATTAATGTTTCAATGACTTTTACCTATTTTCCCACATCCTTTGAGTCTATGGTATTGTGCTTTCTCTTTCTCTGTCTTCATTTCCCCAAAATAAGAATAATAGCACCTTCCCAAGGGATTCTTATGAGAATTAAATAAGTTGATCCATGCTTAACAACAAGAATAAGCCTTATGTGGAGTTAATTCCTAACAACTGATAAACACACAGTCCAAGTTAAACAAAGCAAATGCCTTATTTAGCTGCACAGACTAACTTAGGCATTCAACTAGTATTCGTAGACTATGCAAAACTACAAAATATTTTGATAGGATTAATTAAAACACACATTTTAAGCTGGGTAAGGTGATATATGCCTATGATTTCAGCACTTAGGAAGCTAAGGCAGGAGGATCACAAGTTCAAGTTCAGCTTGAACAACCTAGTCAGATGCTGACTCAAAACAAACAAAAAAGATAAATAAATAAAGGCCCATTCATATCTACCTAGGTCCAATAGCTAGCTAGAGTATATTCCACTTTAATAACCTAGTTACTTAGGCTCATATATCACAATTAACTAGTCAAGTGGAATTAGTTTCTCCAGTTAATTATACTACTTTAAAAATTTATTCATGCTCTCTGCCTCCCTGGCCTTGGAGGACCTGAAGACCTCTCTCCAACCCACAGGCCCCTCTCCGGGGTAAGTCTATTGTTCCCTCAGTGCCTTGACTCCCCCAGCCTCATTCACCCTCCCATCTCCCCGGCCGGTCACTCCTCCTAGCCTGGGTCCTGTCCCATTCCTTGTCTTGGGGCCCCAGATACCTGGGGAACCACTACTCCTTCCTGATCCTTTTCATCCAGACCAATGCAGTGCCTTATCTGGTCCCCAGAAGCACTGCTTCTAGGTCTGGCCCCGCCCTCACCTCCCACTGCTTCCCTGGGCCTGTAGGACCCTCAGGCCTCTGGCCAACCCACAGGCCTCTCTCCAGGGTAAGTCCATCCTGCCCTCCCCGCCTTGACTCCCCCAACGTCATTCACCCTCCCATCTCCCCCTGGGTCCTGTCCCATTGTTTGTCTTGGCACCCCAGACACTCAGGGAAACACCACTTCTTACTGATACTTTGCATCCAGACCAACTCAGTGCCTTTTCCAGTCCCCAGGAGCACTCTGGGCCTGGCCCCACCCACACCTCCCTCTACTTTCATGGCCCTGCACCAACCACCAGCCTCTTTCCAGGATGCAGGGGCTGACGTTTCCTCTTCCTGATACATTGCACCCAGACAAACCCAGCTCTTCAGTGCAGTCCCCAGGAGCCCTTGGGGCTGCTTCCCACCCCCATCTGCCTTTGCATCTCTGGGTGGCACAGCCACCAGCTGCCCTAGATCAGCATCTTTCCTGGGCCCAACTCCCAGGCCAGTCCAACCCCCAAATTCCTGAGGCCAAAATCTTACCTGGAGGGATCCAGACCTTAGGAGAAAGTCTGAGAGCATCTGTACCTCATCTGACTTGGGCCTCTGTGGGAACTCCTGAAGACAAAAGCAATCCGGCCACTCCAATATAAAATCAAAAGAGAGAACCAGAAGCTTAGAGGAACCAGCTTTTCATGCCCAAAAAGTAAACCACAAAAACTATTAAAGTTCACCAAAAGAAGAAAACCTAAACTTGAAGGCTTGAGACTCACACAAGAATCAGAAACTACAAAAGTAATTCACATTTCAAAATCACAGAGAAAAAATAACATGAAAAACCAAAATAACATATCCCCACCAAATACCAATAGTCCTGTAGAGGAGTACAAAGAGAATCCCCTAGAGGACATGGAAATCAAAAGAACAATTATAAACATGATAAAAGAATTCAGTGAATTTA